TTTGTTGTTTTTTGGTTGCAGTCTGCGGAATGTTTTCAGATGCAACTCTATTGTAAACAATGGATTATCCATTTGCCGACATGTAAAAGCATAAGAATTACTGATTATACCAACAATATACTCTGAAATATGTATTGTGACATCATTTATCACAATAGGAAAAAGATATTATTACATTACCCACCCTTATTTCAGCGTTGCTTGTATTTTATGTAATTTTATTGTCGAAATTATCAAAATTATACCAAGCTGGAGTTACCAACCAAACTACACACATTCTAAAAAGACAAACCTGCCTGAGGTTTGGTACAGCATACAGTACAGGTACAGTCTTGCAGTCATTAATCTGAATAGGCATCATTACACAGATATCACACATACAGTAGTGAGCAAAAGTCAGAGACCACCCTTTGCTCATTTAATTTCCAGTCAAAGCAAAAAGTAAATTTTTCAGGAGCTACTTGAGGAGATTCAATATAAGATAATCAATTTACACAATGAAGGGGAAAGTTGAAGGAAAACAGGAGTTTATAAAAAAAAAAGTTCAAGAAATGATTAAAAGCTATAAAGAAAATGACTCATAACAACCATGCCAGAATTCACAGACCACTAATAATGTCACCATCAGAAAAAACGGTACTTAAAACTTTCATCTTGAGAGAGAGGAGAAAATCAATCTCCACTCAGCTCCTCTGCATCAGATCTGAAAAAATCCACAGGAGTTTCTGTCCATCCTTCCACTGTGAGAAGACAACTCAACACTATGAGTCTGAAAGGATGAGTAGCTGTCAAAAAGCCCTTACAAAGAAAAAAAGAAGCTGCTGGTATGTTCAGAACAAAGGACTGGCCACCCTTGAGCCCAGACTTCAATATGTGTTTGGGTTACTCGGATTATGAGAAGCAGAAAATGCAACCAACTTCTAAGACTGAACTGTGGTGCAGAAAAATATCCCTGCAGATTTCTTTGAAAAACTGAAAGCAAGTGTTCTGAGCAGAATGTAAGCTGTAATAAGGGTAATAAGTGGGCACTAAATACTGAAAATAAAAGTTACATTTAGTTGTTAAGGCTTCTGTGTAATTTTCTGTTAAATACATGTTTTCTGCTTTTTTCCTGACACTGAAAAATGACTAACTTGAACTTAATGGCCTCTGACTTTTGAACAGTACTGTATCATTAAAATGTGTTCCTATTACTGAACAGCCACTACACACACACACACAATGCTCAGTGTGCTTAACAAGTGTTTCCTTAAGCGTTGCGTACAATAAAACCACGTCACACTCTGTGGATATGAATGTCACACACACACAAACAACAGGAATAACATAGCTAGAGCTGCAGGCTAACAGTCGTATTCCATCTGTGTATCTGCCTCTCTTTCACACACTGTCACACATGTCTATCTGCAGGGGACATGGCAAGCATCAATAGATTGTAAAGTCATTATCTCAGCAGGCATAAGATAATATTCGAAACAGATTATGCACTACTATTATCGTACACATACATAATCTGATACATTTCTCTAAATCCAAGAAATACATACAAAAGTACAAAAGAAATATATACAAATACGCTTGGAGAAGCACTTTGCTCTTAAAGCAATAACTGAGCAAAATGAAACTGAGCTCTTATCTCAAATATAGCTGATCAGCCAAGGCATGTTTGGTGCCTATAAAAAAAGGACAAAAGTACACTGCATAGATAAATAAAGTAGTGGCAGCCATCTTGAGTTTGTTTTACACTTTTGTCCATTTTTACAGATAACGGTATCAAAAAATAAGAGAAATCAGCACTCATGCATTTCAGTCATGGAATTATTTTCCATATTAACAAAAACAGCAACTAGCAAGCTCAGTGACCTGAGAAAGCCTATGGGGGAAACTAAATGGAAAACAAATCCTTGAAGACTGCATTCCATGAGGGCAGATTTCTCCCTTTTTGATTATTGGAATTCTGCTTGAGGTCAACACACCAGAGATTATTCTGAGATGCAGAAATTATTTTTACACTTATGTAAGCCAGCAATTTAAACTGTTTTCTGGATCACATATAGCTAACAGTATGTTTGAGATTACTTAACAACTTGACATGATTTAAGGCAAGTGTGTGATGGTTCAGTCATGCAGTTTGCATGACGCTAATTGGGGAAAAGTTTCCATTACTTCTCAGCTATATTAGCCTTATAAACAGGCAAACTTTAAAAAAGTAGATTTTTTAGCCCGTAAGTTCATATGAAACCACAAACGTCTCAAAATTCTAAATCCTGAGGAAGAAGTTGCGTTGAACTCAACAGAAATGCTGCTTTCCACATGTCAGCCTGGCATTAACCTTATGTCCAACTGCCTGGAGACACAGTGCAGCACAGGCAGCCAGCCTATGAAATATTAACGGTGCTTGGGCCCCAAAAGAAGATAGGCCACTGCAGAGCCCTTCTGTCTAATCCACGCCGAGGAGCGGCTTCAATTCTCACTACAGCACTTTTTCTAAAAGTGTAATACAAAGACATGGTTGGTTTTGGCTGAAAATATAAAAAGCATTCATTGATTCTCACCACAGGGAATAGTGGCAAAATGAAGTGTTAATTATGCATGTTGTCTCGTGTTCTGTGAGCAGCCTGTATCCGCCATGCAAAACACAATGAGGTGGTTTAAAGGCTGAGTCAATTTTCATGAATTTCTGCTAAATTTAGCCTGATTGACATCACTAGTGACTCATTATTATTCCAAAGATCTTAAATGCTGCTGTTTTCTCAAATGCAGCTCCTGTGATACAGTAAAATTAACACGGTTACAACCTTGCGATGTAAAATTGTTGGAAACTGCTGACAAATTGAGTGCTTCCTCTTGAATGGAATGTACTTTGTCACAGCTGGAGGTCAGATAAAGAGATTTCTTACAGCTCTTATCATATTATCTGTCGTGGCACAAGACTTGGCATTCCAATGAGGATGAACTGCATGCCTGCACTATGCGTAGAAACTTAGAGCTGAATGATGGGGAAAAACTTTAGCAATTTTTGCAATAAATACTATGACAGATGGAGTCAAAATTAACATATTGCAACTGCAATATACCTTCCAATATACTGAAAAAATATGTGACATGCTGAAAAATTGGCCTGTGTTAATGTTTCATTCAGTGTAGGGCTAAACAATTAATTGTTTGTATATCGAAATCACAATTTGAAAAGTGCAACTCTAGCTAAATCCTACATTCTTCAGTATTGTCTGAACAAGTTTTATTTAGGGGATATATAACCTATAACATAGGGCTTGTGAACTGGCAGTTTGTCACACTACATTCAACATTCAAGCCTCAAGTACAAAAAATGGATATGCTGGTCTTTGTGGCAAAAAAGGCCTCATTTATAGAGGATAACTGAAATTAAATCTCTTAAAATCGTTATTAGATATTTTCCCCAAATCGTTCAGCCTTAATTCAGTGATTTGTTACAGGATCATTTTTATTTTTGCACCCTTTTACAGTATCAGTGCATGTTGTGCAGCCCTACTCCAAACTCATTCATTTGCAGTTATTTTATAGTGATCATGGGAACCTAGGCCTCTTAGATAAACCAAATATTGCTGAACTGCCCAAACCCTGACTGAACCATCAGACGAATAATACATAGTCAATCAGCTCCCCCGAGAGATGTAATGATTGTGATGTATCAGAGTGAATCAGTATCAAGAAGCTGCTCAAAAAGACAGATTAATTCACGCCTCAGATAAAGCATCCCAGAGTTCTAGGTCATGGTTGCGAATGTGGCATTAATCTTATGTGCTCACATAAAACCATTACCACCCCTGCGGTGGAAAATAAACTGTGCTGACTGTCTGTACCCGTCTACAATGCACAACAGCCATGGCGAGCCTGTCACTTCACTCTGCCTGCTCTGCTGGGGAGGACCGTGGATATTAAAAGAAAAGCAATCCTCTTACATGACGCTCGGACCATGTGGGGAACACCAGCACTGTCTTGTCTTTGCTTGACGGCTACTGGATCTCAAAACCTATTGGGCAGTAACCTGGGCTGGGAAAAAAAACAGCAAGGCCACCACAGAATTCTAGGATACAACCAAATATAGAGAAAGAGTGATGGCAGGCCCAACGTCCCATCCTAACAGAATACACCTAGACGATTTCCTCTACTATTTATAGGTCATTCTAAATATAAATTGTAGAGTATTTTTACAACCATACGAGACAAGCCAGGCCCGGGCATTTACAAATGGATGACAAACCCATGAGCAACCACTACCACTGCATAGGCGAGGGGATCCCCTCCTCTTCCCCTTCCTCTGACCTTGCAGGAATAATACAGCTCTGAAGCACAGCTTTCAGTATCGAGCTGCATCTTTAAGCAAATGGTGAAGAGCAGCATTAATAAATAAGGGCTTTTGGCTTGGATTGCAACAGCCTTGCTGGGTCCACCAGCCCCGTTTACCGTGTCAATTCATTCCCTGACATGCTATAATACCCAGCTGAAGCTGTTACGTACGTGCCCTGAAATCATACTGGGGTCAGCTTTCTGCCCTCAGGATATCCTACTTGCCATCTGAAATTAAAAAACGCTATCCAATGTATGATTTTTCCTAACATGGCTCAGCTTTGTGAGGGAATCTTGCCATGAAGCACCCTTACATCTGTATCTTTCCATTGGCAGTGCTAGAGAAGATTGCAGGCTGACACTGCAACTGTCAGGAGATGTGAAGACATTTATTTGGTCACGAAACGAAGAAGCATAAGCATGGCATAAAACACATTGTGTGCGCGCAAAGGCACAGTTCACAGCGAAAAAAGCTCAGTTTTCATGTCGAATGAGAATTTTTTCATGACCATCGACCATAAGCTGTACCTGCTCCGCCTAAACCTACCAGAGCATCTTTCCTGACAGCTCCTCCTGACAGAGAAAATAAAAGCTGCTGTCTTATCCTGTCCGAGAAATTCCCAGCGAGCAAGACACGCCTAGGAAGCATTTAAGAAATATGCCGTTACCTTCTCTTGAGCCCGACTGAGCCTCTTTTGGACGTTTTTGGCGAAAATCCCCGTCTTTATTTCGGCCATGGCTGCTGGTACTGAAGCGAGCCGAGCGTTTTCAGCACCTCCAAGGCGAAGCGGGGGAGGGCGGAGTCTCTCTTAAAGCGACAGGACCCGGATGCAACATGAACCCTCGTCGTTTTCCTGACATATTTCGCTAAATGACACAAATGCGCTATCGCTCAATCATAAAACACACACGATACTGAAGCCTTATTTTGTCCAAAATGCTTGTTTTGACAAACCCTGTCCGTCTCACCCTTTAAGCCTGAGTATGGCTCGGCTCGGCTCGGCTCAGCTCGGCTCAGGCTCGTAGCTGCCAGTGACTCACACTCTGAGCTGCTGCTATTCTGGCCTGGCTGAGGCGTTACAACCAGGCTGCCATAGCTTACAGTAAAAGGGCCACGCATCACGATAAGCAACCGTTACAGTAGCCACTGTGAATGTCAGTTCGCAAATAAAATTAAATGACAACACAGAAATACAAATTAATTGGAGAAACCTGCGCTTACAGGTTGGTTAGTGTAAGAGTATTGAGAGTATTAGGAGATTTATGGACGCTATGACTGGGATCCCAGCTGAAAAAACCCATAGAAACCATTAAGTGTTCCTATTGGTTCCTGATGGGTTTGTAACGTGTTTTGGCTTTTTAATGGGTTGATATTACAATGTAAACAGGTGACCAGTGGCTAATTCTAAGTGCATTTGATGGATTCCTAATGCGATTCACACACACACACACACACACACACACACAAGTCAGCTTCACCAGCTTTTTGTTTGAATTTGCCTGTTCCACCTTAAATGGTGCAGCAGTTACATTCTGGCACCTCAGCCTATTCGCTAGCTTCTTGTTTGAATTTTCTCATTCAAACCTAAGGTACCAGAATGTAATTGCTGCACCATTTAAGGTGGAAGAGGAAAGTTCTAACAAGAAGCTGGTAAACAGGCAGCAAACTTCAGCCTCATTTGCCTTGGTAACCCGGCTGCACACGGACCACACAGTATGAACGTGAGTACTCCAATGTTGAGATTACTTAAAATTCTCATCCCTACTATTACCCGTGATAAATGAGTTAAGGATAGCTATCTTAACAGAAGCTCAATGCTTACCTATTCAGAAGAAAATTAGTCAACTTGGCATCTTTCCTAAAGTCCTTCTGGGGTCTACACTGTCTTCATCTTTAAAATGCATCACCAGTATTTACTCACATATTACTATGTCTCTGGCCATGGAGCTTTTTAGAAGGATACTGAAGCTTTTTAGGTCAGGATCCAGTTTGTTTGCTTGTGTCCATGGCTGCAAAATGATTGTGGGAAAGGGGCAGTAAGGTTTTTTGAAATTTTGTGTCCCACAACATTCACTCAACCCTGTCACCTGAATATTCACACATTTAAATATCCAGAATATTCAACAAAATGTTGAACAGGAATTTGCATTATCCATAGTTTCTAAAAATCATGTAAAGAAGAGTTCTCTAATTTATTTTTCTTTATTTTCAGTAATATTGTAATAATGATGGACATGCTTACTTTTAGCCCTGTTACCCAAATTATAGATAGAAAGTAAATTATTCTTTAAAAAATACATTTTAAATAAATCATGAGAATGTCCTTTATGGCATTATGTCATTAGTGTGGATGCTAGTTAACCACATTTTGTGTATTTGCTAAAAAAAATTCAACTGTGTTATGCCAGACATGCCCAGACCGTGCACAACTTTGGTCAAATATTCCAGCATGCAGCCAGAGTCAGCCATCTTACTGATATGCAGCATGCCATAATGCAAGCCAGTTGTATCACCATAGCAACGTGTCCTCTGAAGCTAACCTACTTGGGGTTGATTCAAGCTTGCAACGTTCCACCTCTTAAGTGATTCTGTCTATCTTACTCGTGTCATTGCACTTCTCAGATTATCCTTTGGATATCTCTGTGCACGCACTGTGAAAATAGCTGTGCAGTGCGAGAGCATTTATAATGCTCTGTCTGATCATGAAGACAGAGGTGTTTCATTATTGAACAGTTCCTCAGTTAGTCACACACTTTTTACAAAATGTAAAGACATTTTGTACTTTATACTTAAAGTTGTTAATCATTCTTCTTTCTTCATAGTATTTTTTATGTAGGCCTTTTGTTTCTTTAGTCTTTCTTCAAAGCTGCATGCATTATTCTCATGTTTGATATTGCATTACTCTGCTTGTTTTGCTATATCTATTTTCATTTTGCCTCAGTTATGTCAAAAGCCCTCGGAGCACAGCAACGATATCACTGGAGTTTATTGGGTTCCACTTGAGGCTATATCATTCCATTAACCTAATCTATGGACCAATTCAAACACATTGGGTGTTACATTTAAACAAAAGCAAGTGAAATGAAATGCACCACTGTATCTTCTTCTATTCAGATGGCTCCATCTCAAATGTCATTGTTATGAATTTAAGTTAGAGTTCCCTTTTAAAAAAGACTTCTTATGTTGTCTGCTAAAGGCATCTGCAGTCATGATTGGAGGGCTGAGGTTCAGGGACCATGTAGAATAGAATAGAATAGAATAGAATAGAATAGAATAGACTTTATTGTCCATTTCTGGAAATTTGTCTTTGGCTTTACGAAGGTGCACAAAATAAAAACTATAATTAGATAAATAGTACAAAAAGTGTACATACAGATACAAAACACGACATACAAGACTTTGGCATGCAGCTCTGGGTCAGCGTGCAAAGACACATCCAAATAATCCACTAGACACATCCAAATAATAAACAATAAAAATATACACAGTTCCAAATTTCACATATGTGCACTTGAGGCTTATCTGACACACCTTAAAGTAGACACTGCAGGTCTGTATGCTCCTCTTGGAAAGGCATCTTTTAAAGAAATATTCACCTCCAAATATTTCAGCAGTATAAATTCAATATTATTAACATGACACCAGTCATGGGTATAGCTGTGCGATGTCTTACTTGTACTTGTGTATACAACAGTTGATTTATGCCAGGCTGTGCTATGTGTTTAGGGTGGTCTTGCACTAATGGTGGAGTCTCACCAACAACTTCTTTGCATGCACTGCTGAGGTAAAAGGCCCTTTTTGTGGGGACCTTTTTTTTTTTCTAGAGCCCCAACAAGTCAACACATAGGGTTACACTTGCTAAGGTAAAAGTAGAGTCAGCCTTTCCAATTTTTATAGAAATGATGGCCATTGTGTTCTCCAGGCTTAAGACGAAAAGGACTGTCCACTGTTACAAGTGTAAAGTTCAAAAGTCAGTGTCATGGAATGGGAGTTTAGTAGTACCCATGACATGGGTCAATTGCACATCTATAAAGGCAACATTTACACTGAAAGATATACACACATTTTGGATCAACATATCCAGATAATGTGTTTTTCAGGAACAAAAATGCTTATAACAAAAACACAATGCTAAGCCATGTTCTGCACATGTTACAAAAGCACAGCTGCAAAATCAGAGAGTGTGAGTGCTAGACTGGTCAAGTTTTTTGTACTGGTTTCAATTTAATACAGGTCAAACAGGATTTGCTAATCACTGTTTTCTGTTTTTATTACCTTTTCACTTACTGTCCCAACTTTTTTAGAATTGAGGTTTGTATAAGAACATATTACACATTGAGAACAGTGCCATTCTGCATTTATTCAGCTTAAGCTGGCCTTGCCTTGTAGCTTGATGGACGCTGTAAAGCTGATGTGAGGATCTGTTCATTCTGTCTTGAGTAAACTCTGAGCACTTCACCAATTCAGCATCTAGTAGTGCTGAGTTAAGCATGTTCTAGACAGGGCTTCTTTATTTGTTCTTATATAACATACTGAAGGGTTGTAGATTATCTTGCATAATCAAATTTGGCTCTTTTTTGTAGAATATTTTGCTTACAAATTTCTTACACCTATAAATAATAGTTCTTTTGCTTTCGTGTCTCTGTGAGGCCTGTGACCATGCTCCTTGAGAGAGATGCTGTGATATAAGACAAGGACTTGCTTATGCCCATCTCCAATCTATCCTATCAGACATGGCGGTGGACAATGGTGCACATGGAACTGGGTATTTCCGTCATAGTATAACTGGGTGAAAGATGACCATTCAGGAACTTTCAAGGCCTTGGGCCTGACTGAAAGTAACTCTTGCTGATGTGTTTAAGATGCATATGAGGGATACCATCTTTGTTGACTGAATCTCACCAATGACACAGTTTTGTTTGTGCATTATAGTAGTTGTGATTTGTAATGATGAATCAGCAATTGACTGTCTATTTTTTTTACGTGTAATTTGCATAAAGCTATAACTGCTTATAAAGTCTGTGTTAGATGGGGAAGACACCTGTAGGTGCTCTCACCCCCATCACTTTCTCTCTCGCTCTCTCTGTCCTCTTAGTTTTAGCCTGGTGATTTTCTGTAAGCTTTTCTCTCAGTTTAGCCTTTGCGTGTGAGGTTATGTTTGTTTGGACGTGATAATCTGTTGAGATTGTTTTTCTCTATTTTTGTCCATTCTTTTTATTATGTTTTCTTTTCATGTTCTTGTAATCCAGAAAAAAACATTTTCTTATTAAATTTTATGCTTTTTTGACATTCGAAATTCAGTGTGTGGTCTTCTCGTCTTAGTTTTTGGGTTATATCGTTTCATAGAAATTGTGTTTTTCATACATTTCTAAATTTTAATCTTAGTTATGCTGTGTTAAATTACTCAACAGTACTTTGTGTGGCCAATGCACCATAGTATTCCTGAACATTGGGCACCACATTACTGGATGTCTGTTGTTAATCCAGACCTATCAGGTTCTTGCTATTGACCATGATGGGTGGATAGGTGGCCCAGAAATTGTTAAGACTGAACCAGAGTCTGAGCCTAGTTCTAATCCTTATTCTCAACCTAGCACACCTAGCACCTAGCAGTCCAGCATCAGGAAACCTCTGCTGAGCAGAGTGCTCCTGAAGAAAATGTAAACGCTCTGCTGTTATTAGATGTAGCCAACTTCAATTCAGTATACTAAGTGCTGATTTTTTTCTATTACAGGCAGAAGGAGGTAGCAATGAGGTCAGGGACATGTCAGCTCTATAGTACGACACTTTTAACTTTTTATGGCAAAAATGGAGGGGTTTGTGTTGATTTTAAAAGCCATTTGTTAAATGTCTCTATTTCCACACTTACTACCTCACAACTATCAAAATTGCCAACTTTTCTCTTAGACTGACAGTGCTGTGTCTCACTTTCACTGTCAGTGTGGCACATTTTAAAATATTTTAGGATCACTTCTTTTAAATTTATATTATCTCTCCAGTCCTTCCCTTTCTGACCGTCCATTTTGTAGACCGTTCTGAGCAACTCAGAACACTGTAATTATGTCTCAGTGGCTGGCAGGAGGGTTCCTGAAGGACTGGCCACTCTAAATGCCAGGGTAAGATGGTAATCATGATCTAAAGAACATGTATTAAATGAATCTGTTTGATTTGAAACATTTAAAAGACATTATGTGTCTCCATTTGAAATGGATATAGTTGTCTTAATCATAGTAGGACTGGTCCTTTGTCTCATTAATTGCATACACTATAACATTATTACATACAGACCAAGAAATGAGTGTATATTTTAAATGCTAACATAAAGAATATGAGAATCCAGTCTCCAGAAACTAGTAAATAAATGTGACATCATCACGGTATCATCACAGTTAGGCAATTGCACTATGCCAACAGGTTTTTTGCCTGTCAGCATGATGTAATGTTGTCATCACTTCAATCTCTCTCTGTTTACCAGTGAAGCACTCCATGGAACTGCTTATTTTTATTCAAATCATGTGATTGAAATTCACTTCATCTTAAAACACACTATGGATTGTGCTAGTTTTAAATTCCTCTCTATCTCTTCACATGAGCTCCACCTGCTAAGCTTGCTGTTCAGAACTAAAGAACAAGGTACAGAAGGGTAAGATAAAAAAAAATGTAGTGTGTTCCACTCTATTTATTTTTTTCTGCTGTATACCCAAACATACTTAAAACAGCCAAAACAGCCATCATTTAGAGAATTTAAAATTAGTGGGTTAAAATGTGGGTTCGTCTTGAAAATTTCCAAGATTTAGCACCAAGACTTTTTGCGTCAGTTTCCCAGACAGAGATTACATATTCCTTTTCTGGACTACATGTTCCTTTCAGTGGAGAATCTCCATTCAAAATGGAGATCTCAATTCAAATAGTCCAGGACTAGACTTCCCTGCCAGACTAGACTTCCCTGTCCAGAAAAACCAACCCTTTTTATTTATTAGTGCTAAGACATAAAGTGTTACAGGTACCCCTGGTCTCTCCTACAGTATAAATATAACTTTATTTAAGCTTGTTTGTACATGTTTTGGCTGAGGCCTTTTTAGTGTTTACTGAATTGATTCAATTTAGTTTAATTAGACCAAGAATCATTTGCTCTTAATAATACCCTCAATATTTCTCTCAATTTCCACAACATTCATTTGCACAACCATGTCAATACAAGGTGCCAAAATTTTGATCCATCTTGGGATCTGACTGGCTAGTTGTACTGTCAATATTGCTATCTGATTGGCTTAATATATTGTCAATCTTGTGATCTGAGTTGCTAGTTGTATTGCCAATCTTGAGATCCGATTGGTCAGTTCAGAAGGTACAGTCAGGTCTGGATCCTTTTAGTTGGATCTAATTTCACACCACTGAAAGCAATATATAGTTTCTGGTCATAGACTTAATGGTGATCAGTACTGCTTCTATACGGGACATATTTGTTCAGTAAATCTTTAGCTGTGTTTTTACAGTAACACTTACAGTTTATATGTGTCCAACTGAGTGTTAATTAAACACTGGAAATTTTGCTGTGAACCTGCTTTAATTATCACTGTAGCAATGAAAATGCTTCAAAATGTGTTGAAGAGTAACTGGCTTGGCGTTTTTCTTTCTTTCTTCATTTCCTTTTGGTAAAATCCTGCCAGCTAGTGGACAAAAAATGAATGACATTCTCAGCTCAGGGAACTAGTCGAATGCCACAAGCGTCTATTTTTATCCAGGCAAGTTTATAAATTGACACAGTCAACTGATGTTTGTCACAGCAGACAAACATTAGTTGACAGCAAGCAAATGCTGAAGGCTGAGTTAAATAAACTGATGCAGACTTTAAAAAACCTTAGCCTTAATTTGCTAAGAAAGAGATTACAGGTAACTTGAAAAACACAAGACAGACCGTTCTGTATTTGTAAGCAGCAGATGAAGACAGAAGGTGGGAATGGGAAACTTCTGTATTACTGCATCAGGCAATGTAGACAGTGAAGAAGATCTGCACCGATGCCAAGTGAGGAGCCTTGAGTGTGATGGAAAAACTGTAAAGGTGGAAACAAATCAAGAATCTGACCAAAGGTCTCCCAAAACTTGTTCATTGGAAACAGCAAAAAGGTATTTATGCTCAAATAACACATGGCTTTCATGAGGCTACTGTAGAAGTGGATAAATAAGGCTGGGCAATACGACAATATATGTATTGTTATTGTGATTAGTTATGTCACAATACAGTACAATATGCTTTTCTGAACATATTGCATATATCATCAGTACTTGTAGAACACAGACCAACAGTTTCATTATAAAGAGAGCAAAATTAGTTCCGTTTAACTAAATTATTGCAACACAGTATGCCAAATATTTAATGAAAATCATTGTGCTCACAGTTGTTGAAATAATTTTCTAAATGTAGCACTTCTGATTCTTTTTTCTCTGTTCCAGCTGATCAAAAATCTGAAAAAAAGAAATATTGTGTATCATGAAATTTTCTTTAAGTATTCTATATTTATGCCATATTGCCCAGCTCTGGGATAAAGCATGAATATCACACAGCCTAAATCATTAGTAAGATTTTTACTCATGCCCTCGTACTTCATGAACTTGTCATCTACCTTTATTTTCCTTGGCTGTATGAAATAACTGAGTAAAATGCGCGAGAGTAAGAGCTAAAGGTGCTAAGTGTGGCCAGCAGACGCTTAGAGAACTCCGATTCCCAGCATGCCCACATAACAGGAAGCTGAAGATTATCAGCTCGTCGCTAACCTTTGTTGACAATTTGGTTTCGTGGCCAGTCAACAGGTAAATAAACGTTTAAAAAATGAATTATACCCTTATCTTAGAGGCTTAGTTATACTGATACACTGCGTACCTTTACTTGTTCCATTTATCTGGCGAACATTACATAAACAGCTAAGTTAGTTAGCTACTTACGTTAGCTGGCTGTGTAAAGCTTATCAGTTACCTTAGCTTGATAGCTCGCGGAAGTACAGCTAACTGCCGAAAACGGAGTTTAAACGTTTTTGAATGCGCATCATTTATTTAGTAATTAGTGCTTATTGTGAAGTCCCGCGTTTCTTTTCTGCCTGTCCAGGTGTGTCACCTATGAAGGAGGGGACTCCCTGAGCACTTTCACCATGCGACCCGCTCGGTCAGGTGGGAAAGGGAAAGGTGCACAAATACAAAATCAAAATCACAAGCCTAACAAAGCCAAAGCAACCCGGGAGACTGTGAACCCCAGTCCTGAGTCCAGTGGTCAAAGTCAGAGCAAAAAATCTAAAAAGGTTCAAGGGTAAGTGTACACTACCTTAAAGGGGCACATTTCAGCCAAAATAAAAAATTAACCATCTGTTGTAAACATGCTATCTTGTCTCATACAGCAGTGCTGCAGCAGTCGCCAGAGTCGGGCTGTATGATACTGACATACGATACCGCTCGATAAAGCTCTTGGATATCACAATGGCGATATGAGAAGCGCTAAATTATTATCAAAAAGTGTGCCTCTGACTGGATGTGACAAAAGTGCTGTCTCTTATTTTTAATGTGTAAACAGAAATCTAACTAACCTCTCCTTTAAACAAATAGTAAAATACACAATTGTAAAAGCACAATTCACAATTCTGAAAAATTTAAAACATTTAAAACAATACTGGGTGTGAGAACAAGCTTTTATTTCTATTTTTTATTTCTATTTTTTTGTTTTTACAGGCTTGTATTTCAGGATAGAGGAGTTCTTGAGCTGTGCATGTGTGTGTTTGTAATTGGCTGTTTAGCCTAATGGTTAAGTTGGCCACAACTATGCTATACATATGCAGAGTTTTCTCTAACAGCTTGTTCGTTACCCAGCTCACATCTTCCTGTCCTTCCTCCCTCTCCCACACACACACACCGGAATGCCCCTTTAACATAGTTCCATCACCATGTCATTAAGTGAATTATGCTCATCATGCACCTCGTCTCCCCTAGATCAGCTCTGGAGAATCCCAATCAAACAGTAAAAGCTGCAGGTCAGCTGAATCCCAGTCATCCTAAACATGGGGAAGCCAGAGGGGTGACCTCCGACACGCAGTCAACGTCTGAGACAGAAGAAGCCAAGCTTTCAGGTCACAATCGCCAGCTACGCCAGCAGTGTCCAACAAGGGTATCAGATGCTGAGGATGAAAACAGGTACTACAAGTTTGGAATGTTTGTCTTGTGAAATAAACAAGTATTTATGCAGCATTGTGTTCTTTAAACATCCTGCAGTTTGACAGCATTCTGTCAATCCCTTCACAGTGAGGTGGACCTGTACAGGGGAGCAGAGGAAATAGAACAAGAAAGGCAAGAGAAGCAACAGTCATATGCAGGTATGAGCGTTTATCATGCTCAGGAAATCAGAATATGTACAAGTAATGCTCAGCTGTTTGGTCTTTTGCGTGATGAAGATGTTTCTTAGTCAGGCGCTATTTCAGCTAGCAAACCAGCTGAAATCTTGAACATAAGAAAAGAGTTAACCATAGCCAGTACTTTCTGTTGCTGCAATACAGTTCGTTGGAGCTTGTATTATCGTCAGATATAGATACTGAATTAATGCAGACTGCTGACCCACAGTGAAAAAAAAAACTGTTTACAACAATCAAGTATTAAGACTTTACAAGGATTATGTTGTGAAATATTTAAATTCAAGACATTCATTGAGATAGTAATAAGCTAAATATATACAAAATCAGCATTAGTAGGTGGCTGTCTTTTTTAATTTGTTTAAAGTGAAATTTAAAGATTTAGAATTATAAGTTTAATTTTTAAATAAAAAAATGCTGTTCCACTATTTCATGTCACTACCGAAACACAGTTTTAGTCCATAGGTAGAGCTTATTTTAGCCACGCCCCTGCATTTTAGAGCATTTTAGTTTTTGTGTTCTAATGAAAAATATTAGTATTTTATTATTTTATTTCAAAGCTGTGTTTGCTAGTCATGTACTGGCTAGTTGTGCTAAAAACAAGTTAAAATGTCACTACCAAAACATTTGGTAAAGTTTTGGTAGTGTTGTGATTGTTTTTTTAGGGACAAATTGAATATTCAGTCATTAGTTTTAGTAAAATACATGTTTCATGTTTTTTAGAAACACCAAGGTGACATTAAATGAAAAATGATATACTGTAATGATCTTGATAAGTTATCAGCCTAAGATTTGATCACCACTTTTCAATCATAAGATATTCTAAGTGTTAAATTTATTATAACTTCATTCTCAGTGTTTTACAGCTTTCTCAGCCATTACCAACTCATATAGAGCTCTGTTTATTCTGGAAACATGTACAGTTTAATTACATTTTTACAGCTTCATACAAATGAGTTGAAACCTATGAAGTTGCAGAACAGTAGAATCATATTAGAATCATTTTGTACACTTGCCTGCAACAAAACCATTGAATCCAAACATTTGCATTGTGATTTCAAACTTTTGAACACTAGTTATTTTATTCAGCGCCCTCGGCGCCTAATTTAGAGGACCAGAACAGTGTGGCTGCTCCTGAGAGTCTGCTCCCCTACAGTGAGAGAGAGTGGAAAGGCAACACCTTCAAAAGTCGCCTAATAAAAAAGGTAAGATTTCCACTGCAGTCTTTGTCGTATGTCTTTCTTTGCAGCACAATACTCCTCTATGCCATTGCTTTTAGGGCTATGAGGCAGTAGCTCAGAGATTTTTTGAGAGTCTGCGCAGAGTGAGAGGTGATAACTATTGTGCTCTGAGGGCAACCCTCTTCCAGATCCTCAGCCAATCTGAAAAGCTCCCGGCCTGGCTCCAAGACCCTGATATGAGTCAGGTTTGACCCCATCGTTTTTTTTTCAGTAACCTTAAAACTACCACATATATATATATATATATATATATATATAATGTGTGTGTGTGTGTGTGTGTGTGTGTGTTGGCTGCTATTATATTACATAGTTCCTTATGTGTATTTCTACTTTTCTCTCCTAGTGGCCAAAACAAATGCAGTCTGAGCTGGATTTAATAAAACAGTGGAGATTTCCACTTGATTGCAAAAACGAAGGAGGAGCAGTAGAGCAGCTGGAATGCTGTCTGAAGCGGTTAAGAGAGAGGGTAACTTTCATCTGTACATCATTATCCGCTTTCAGCACAGCTAATACAAGGGTTTTTCACAGCACTAATATCAACGGGTGAAAAAAAGGATCTGTATTTACTTTAAGGCCACTGTGAGTTTGCTTACTGCACTGCTTACTTACAGTTGATCACTGTGTATCAATCAAAATATTCAAAACTGTGTTGTGTAATAACTTTCTGTATGGAAAGTAGGGAGCTTCTAGAGGCCTTAAACCTTTCAGACATCTGGTTCCTATCTATGGAAGCATATCAGTATCAAATTTAAAATGAAAATGTAATATGTAAATATTTTACTATTATATTTACTCTGTATGTTTATATTTAAATTTCCTGCTCATATATGCAATGTTGAGCTCAAAATAACTCACATTCCATGCTGTGATTTTTATTTGCCATTAGGTAAACTTGTATTGATATTTCATTTACACAAAAATTTAGATGCTTTATGAGCAGCCTTATTTAAATTAAAATGTATTTCCAGAACTGCATATTTATGCTTAACGTGGCTATGCAATAACTGCAATAAGGCTTTGTCTGAAGACATGGCGGCTGATCTTTCTTTAGAAGATGGAGCAAAACAGAGCAGTGTATCATTTTGTGATGGTTTTTTAATCAAATGAGATTTTTCTTTTTTAATCAGCCGACCATTGGATACAGATGCGGAAGATAGAGCTTAATCTAGCATCGAGGGCTATTTTCTATCTTACATAGTGAGCATCAGATGAGGATACATTTCTGTCTTCCACTTTATCTGTTACCTAAAGTGTACTCATAAAATGATTTAGTTGTAATTGTACTGGAACACATAGACATGTGTGTGTCACAGTGAGCTGGATCATATTAGCCAGCTGATAAAAACAACAGATGAGGAACCTGTTTGGGAATGTAGCGTTAGCTAGCATTAACAATAGCTTTTAGCTAGCTTAATTCTGCAGCCCTTCAGAATTCATGTAGTGCATCAGCGGGTGAGGTGATGGCAGAGCAATATATCCACCTTTGATTCTCACTTTGTAAAAGATATCCTTGCATGGCAACAACAGGAATCTCTAAGTCCAGCCTCACTTTCAACCAAATACATTGCCATTTTACATATTACGTTTTCATTTTAATTTTGATGCTGATATGCTTCCATACCCATCACCATCGCTGTGAAAAACTTTGACTCTAAGTTTCTCAAGAATGGCCCATTTCACATCAAACCACCCTGACTTTGTCTACATCTTAACTATTTCATTACGTAGATTGTTTTTTAAATCTGTTTAATTCCCCTTTGAAAGCATAACTACAGTATCAATAGAAAGCTTAGAATTTGCATGTTGGACAGATCTTCTCTATTTCAATGAACTATGATTGAGAATTTTTTATATAAATTTACAACATGCATATGTTATGTTTTTAATGTGTCACTGCGCTTAAAGGAAAATAATCATGATTCCTGGCCAAAAAAAAAATCTTATTTCAACCATCTCGACTTCAGTGGCAGGAGGCAGTGCAGTGTGCGAGTCCAGCAGAGAGGGAGCATATTAGTCAGCAGGTGTTTGTAGGTAAAAGAGAGGAATATGAGCTGCTGGAGGCCCTGAAGTTCCTGATGCTGAGAACAGCTGTCCAGCTTCACCTAGACATGGAGAAGGGTTTACAGGTTCCTGAGTTCTGCTGGCTCCTCTTCGCCAGAGACACCTCCAAGTGCCCTAGAAGCTTCTTTACCAATCATCTCAGACACGTGGGCTTCAGTGGTGGACTGGAACAGGTGAGAACTCCATCTACACTTGGGTACAGAAAAGAACTGTACCATCAGTATATTTTATATTAGCGGTAAGTTTTGAGTTATGTTTCAGTGCAGATCTGCCATCCTCTGTGGAAAACTCCCTATTAATACATTACCATTCAGTTTTACTTAGAATCACCAAAAGCTGGGAATCACTGTTTTCTGTAACATAAAACTAGTTTTTGCAGTACATGATTCTAACAAGATGCTACTACTGTTAGCTAATTTGTATGAAGCTGTAAAAATGAATTTAGTTTGTGTTCAGGTGTGCTCAGAACGATTAACAAAGCTGTAGATGATTCTGATGATTCTAAAAATTAACATCAAGAATGCCTTGTATTTGAAAAGTGGAGATGAAATCTCGAAGCAGATAACTGAAACGACTGTAAATAGATTATTACTGTATATTATTATCCGTTAATAATTTCATGTTGAAATATTAATTAAAACATTCTAGGATACCTTCAGGCACCTATCTTATAGAAGGTTATGGAATTTCAATCTACACTGTGAGTTATTGTTTATTAAATAACAATTAAATTAACAATTGAATTAAATAACAGCAATTATTCATATGATTTCAAAATGATTGATTATTGATTTTGATTGTAAGTGCAGGATTCTGGCATAATTTCCTTTAAACAACTTTATAGTGGAATAATCCTTAAATCTCTGTACACATTTAATTTGCAATTACACCTACATTTATGGCATTTGGCAGACGCTCTTATCCAGAGTGACTTACAGTTTGATCATTTTACACAGGTAGGTGAAGGTACTGTTAGGAGTCTTACCCAAGGACTCTACTAAAGCATGAGGAACTATTCTGTAAGCAGGGAATTAGAAAGAATGTCTTTAAAAGTATTTACAAATTTAGCACTTAATCAGTGATTGTATGACAAACTTTATATGTCTTTCTTGACAAAGAGGTAAATTCAGTAAACATCACAATACTCAAATAGATAAACTCAAAATAATCTTTGATCTCTGTCAGGAATGTATGGCTAAAAAAAAACCCTAAAATATAACTTCAAAGATGAGCAGTGACAAACTACCTGTAATATTCTGTTCCTTTCCTGTAATAAAATTTGGACAGTAGTACAGAAGTATACATATAATCAATTTTACCCCAGTCCATCTCAGCAACATCACATATGTCACCTATGTGTTATCAAATCAAGACATGTATTGTCGTATGAACACCTCTGGTCAAATGACATGTTACACATTCTCTACAAAGAATACACTTCGGCACATTTTACTGCAGAATTACTGTTTATTCGCTGAATTTAACATATTGGGGGGGAAAACAGTCAAACATTGTGGCACAATTTATTTATTTCTTTGTTGTTGTTTTTTTCCGATATGTTAAACTGAGCAAATAAATAGAAAATGTACTCTAAAATTTGCAGAAAAATGTCATATTTGAGCATGTTCTCTGTAGGGGATGTGTAACTTATTTTCATTAATAAAATAAAAATAATGTAATTTTACTTTTGCATATGACTGTGTGAGAACATTGTTGTACATGTACATGTATTACTGTAAAAGTTCTTTTGCAAAGTCTCTTAAGGATGCCCAATAGAAGGCCCAATTAGCTGTCATGTGGCTTTCTGAAATAAATACTGAGCAAGATATTGCCCGTGGAGCAATTCCATGCATCCATCCTAGCCCTTTTTATAAACTTCATGTACTACCAAGCAACTTCACATACGGCCATATGTTCCATTTTTGTTGTTGTTGTGGGTTTCATTGTCTTTTTTTTGCAAGAAAACAAGTTAATGCATAAATGGAAAAACTACAAAACTTGTTCAGACACAGAATGAGCGAGCAACAGGAGATCAAGCGATAGTTTGCCTGCATATAATTTCTAGATTTTTGCAGATTAGCCACCAGTGCATTGTGTTGGGTGAAGATGATAAAGCATTGTCTCTTTTTCTGTCTAATACAGGTGGAGATGTTTCTGCTTGGGTATTCTCTACAACAGACAATCCAGGTCTATCGCCTCTACAAGACTGACACTGAAGAGTTTATCACATACTATCCAGATGACCACAAAAAAAACTGGCCTTGCCTTAATCTTATCACAGAAGATGACAGGCACTATAACGTACTTGTATCCAAACATGACACATCCAAATTTGACACATCAGGCAGACCTATATGGAACCTCCCCTCAGATGGCCACGCCCAAAAAAGACACGTTACACATCTGTAAAGAAAGCTGGATACATTGACAGATGTTCTCAGGCGCAGTTTTATCTGATAATTTGCCCAGGGGAACTGTATAATGTTTAATGCCGTCCATGTGCAGTTAATGTTTAAAATATTTTCTGTTTACTTTTTCATTGTTTGTGGTTTTCATTCAGATTCTGTTGTTTATTTGACTGAAACAGGGGCAGTTTATTATTAAGCACTTTCTTGCACAGTTGTCTCACAGTTATAAATGAATGCTGGCGCACAATTCAGGGTCCACTTTCTTCTAAACAAATGACAAAATCATTGAAAAAATATATATATATATGGATGGAAAGAAATGGGAATTTTAAAAATTAAATGGTCAAACCTAAAACAATTCTGCTTTAAAACTTGTACATTTTAAGGGCAATGACTGTTGGTATGTACCAATTAAACGGTAAAGCAGAGCTTTTCCGATTGTCATGTATTTCTTTTGCAAATGTGACTTAGGTTCACTTTTTAGGAAATATGCTATGCTGCTATGTGTGTTTGTAAAGATTTGGTGTTGATGAACTTTCAACCAAGGCAGTTACCACGGTTGATGACGTGATGCCAGCACGGAGAGCTGATAAACGCCAGGTTCAGTTTCATTTTTACTTTCGTATAACCTGAGTGAAATCAAAAGCTGAAGGAGGCGTTAGCTAAGGTAACAGGTCATCTCCCCAGTTAAAAACAAAACCGGGTTTTTACTTCATTAGTACACTCGGTGGCCAATGCGAGCAGTATTAGAGTCGTAACAGCACAAGGATTTTTCATGTTGTTTCTTAGTAGAGTATTTTACAACGGCTTTGAACGCGGCTCAGCCAATCAGATTTTAGGACCAGAACTGTCTGAATTGTAATGTTCATTTGTACCGCATGTGGTGTTCTCCGCATACAGCAATACAGCAGCTTAAATGAGGGACTTTTCAGCCATGCTAAATTGCGGAGGCTATTATTTACATAATCTTCAAATATTTGATAATGATTGCCAGATCAGGCAGAAAAACGTGTAAATATACCAAAGATCTGTAAAGGACAGCGCCAGCCTTCTGCACTTTCACTCTGATCATGGGCTGTATGTAAATCAGTAAAGAAACAGTATCAGGCATAACCTAATCATTATCCTCAGCCTTGTGATTGAGCGTTCGTATCACAAGAACGTCATAGCAGGTCTCGTCCACCAGAGGGCGTGTGTGTGTTTACAGAAACACAGAGAGAAGCTGAGCACCGAAAACGCAGAAAACCAAGCCCAGTTTATTTTTGTGTATAAGTTGGCGCAAAGCGTTCGTGTCCTCTAAGTAGAGCTGGGAGTATGACAATATTTATTATAATCTAAATAATGTACATCACAGTATGTTACAATAAGCTTTTCTGAGCATATTGTGGATATTGTCAGTGCTTAAAAATCATTTTCCAACTGCATGTTTGATTCAGAGTACAGCATAATTAATTCTGTCTTATTGGATTTAGTACAGCACAGTGTGTGAAATGCTAAATAATAATTGGATTCATAGTTTTTGATAGTTTTTTTTTAATGTGGCACTGCTTTGTTAAACTTATCAATATCAGAAAAAAATAAATATCATGACATATTGTGTCTTTTAAAAACTTCCTGAAGTACTGTGATATTACATTTTGCCAGCTCTACCTCTAGAGTACAGGAGAACTATAATGTGTTCAGTTTCAACATTTTGAGAGAAATCCTGAGTATTTTAACAACTGAACTTTACTCCTCCTCTTTGTTCTTTTAAGCAAATGCCAGCTTGAATAAAAAAGTCCTATTACTTTAGAAGAAACACAGAGCTCTGTGACCTTTGCCCTGTCTGTCCTCTGGCTGAATTAATGTTGCTTAGATTCTTTGAGCATAAATCGGACTACAGCGCTGTACAGATTTGCCCGCTGGTCCCTATATAGGGCACTACTGAGGTTGTGAAAGTAATCATTTTTTACACTGCGTTACACATTCTTTAGGTGGCTATGTATCATATGGCTAAAACATTAATGGCTCTGTCTACATATCCAATAGCTGATTCATCATTACCAATCAAAACAATCATAATGCAAACTGGTTCAGAAACTAAACTAAACATAGTGTAAGACAGCGTCCCTCTTAATGACATCAGCAAGAGTCGCTCTCAATCAGACTCCAGGCCTTGAAAGTTCCCTAATGGTCACATTTAGACTCAGTTATACAATGATGAAAATACTCAGGTCCACCTGTACCACAGGACACCGCCATGTCTGGTAGGATAGATTGGAGATGGGGAAAAAGCAAGACCTTATCTCATGTCACAACGTCCTTCTCAAGGAAGACTCGGGCCTCACAGAGACACAAAAGCCAAAGAAATATATTCTTTAACAAAATATTCTACATTAAAAAGGATTCAAATTTGATTATGGGAGGTAATCTGCATCTCTCTAGTGATATGCTGTCAATGAACACAGCGCTGTCTTACTTAGTTTTATCTAAGGTAGGTGTTTTTTTTTTTACCTGGAATGCTGTGGTAGATCCCTCTGCATAGCCAGGCATGCGTTATAAACCAAAAGAAATGGTCCAAAACGACTACCAATAAAACATTTTACATTAGCCTCCATTATAAGATCAGATTGTTTAAGCAAAGGTTAACTCTTTTAAAAAACAAGGTTTTATCCTGACAGTGACAGTGATTGACTGCTGTCCCACCAAACAGGATTTAGGATTTAGATTAATTTACACGTGCTTTTTGGAAACATTTGTCTGGTGTTTGAATGTGTTTTTTAATTATTATTATTATTATTATTAGCCTGTTCTTCATGAGCCAGTTTCCCAAATCTAGATTAAGCCTAAACCTAAACTAAAAAGAATTCACTACCTGCACTGCAATTTAGTATAAGGCTAGGCCTAATCCATGTCTGGGAAACTGACCCCATGGTTCACAATGAGTGTGATCAGATTGAATGTGTGGAGAGCATTATTTACATAATCTGTCATGTATTTGCATATCGTGTGCCAGCTCACGCAGTGAAATATGTAAATATACTAGACATCTAAAGAACAGCACTAGGCCTCTGCACAATCACTGTGATCATGATGCCCAGTGTAAAGTTTAAGCCATCTTTGGGTAAACATAAAAGTATAGATAAATGATGATAAATAAATAAATAGAGCTAAAGTGCAACTTCTTAGCATCCACCATCTATTAGCATAGGAACTGAAGTTTGTAAGGGGCTGGTCTTCTGAAAATAAAATACTAAAGCACAAAAGAAAGAAGGGTGAGCAACAAGCAAAGCAGTTCAGGAGCAAAACAACAGAACTGTATTAATTATTTCACTCATTTGAACCCTAAATTACGATCTAGGAGCTAGATGTGAAGGACTAAGTAAAAAAGTAGATTCCTTTCTTTACTACTGTACTTTAAAAATTCTCTGAAATGAATGAATCCATCAGCATGTTTCTGCTATTCACGTTAAATGCTAAAACAACAGATGGTGAAGAACATGAAATTTTGTACCACAAACCTAAATGTGAGATATTTTCCACTGTTAATTATTAATTTTAAATGTTTTTAGCAGTCTGAGCACTTCTCCAAAATGGTCTCTCTTACAGCCAACCGCCCACCCCCACAGTCCTATCTCCCCATAGGTCAGAGAGACCTGATTGGGCCATGTGGGTTTGGTTCCTGTGTTTATCCAGAGAGAAATAAACAGGTTTTAGAGCCACATTACACCAGTGGTCACCACGGTCCTGCTGAGTTTAGTTGTAGCCTGCGTCTAACATACTGCCTCTTTACCTAACACTAATGCATCATACAGCCAATCTGGAACTTCTACAGTTCATTAGCTGCAGTAGGTGTTGCAGATTGTAGTTGGAACTAGACTCTGCTGGAAAGTTTAGGGTTGGTCACCACTGGTATACACTCTTACTTGTCGGTTGCAAAGGATCATTCACAGAATAATAATGATGTTTTTTCTTTCATTTGAAAGCACATTGACCTGCATTTTAGTGTATAAAATTTGCTATATAAGTAAAAGTTCATTATAGTGTTTATTCATAATAAAGAAAATAATTTCCCGTTTTCCTCAGTACTCGTGTCTGACCAAAGCTTAAAATGTAGAGAAATTTTTCTTTGGCAAATTTGTGCTCAAATTCTGTGACTTTTTGTTTAAACCTAGCTAAATGCCAATATTTTAGCATTACTGAAGCATGAAAATACTCATGGAAATGGCTTAAAATGTTTTGATATGCACTATCAACCTAATGTTGTGGCTAGTGACCAAATTCTCATTATACAAGGTTGGAGATTGCCCACACCAATAACCTCTCAGTTACTCTGACCAGTTTTGGTAATAGTGGCCATTAGCTGGACAACAGTGTATAAATCTGAAGTGCTTTCCAGTGGTATTCCCCCTCTCTTCATCCTTCACCATCCCTCTCTCTCTCTCTCTCTCTCTGTCATGCTGTCATGAGTAGTACCTCTCGTGACTATGTAGATCCAAAAAAAGTAGTACTTGCTATTAAGTTGTACTTAGTGTAAAGTAAAAGGTGCAGCTCACACTAGTGTTTTAGTCAAGACCACTAAGGACAGAGACCCTGTCAGAGTCTAAACCGAGACCTGGACACATCAAGTCTGAGTCAAGACCAAGACTTTGTAGCAGTCAAGTCTGAGAGAAGACTAGAACAAGATTAAGGTTTTTTCAGCAAATAAAAATAAAAAGAAGAATGAAATTAATTTGTGGTTCATTGTACATTTATTATCTTATATTTTATAATATATTTTGCAAAATAAAATAAATATACAGCCTAAAATATTATTAATATCATAGTAGTATATGAGTCCAACTTTGCACCAAAACCTTTTAAAGCAGATGATAGTGAGGTTATTCTCTGTCCTTTTTCTAAAACTTATTCAGATTTACCGTCTAAACACAAATAAATAGAGACCAAACAGCATGCATCCTTTTTATTACTAAATGATAACATAGTAATAATAACATTCAGATCTGCCCTCAGGAGATGTTTGGATTCCATATGCTAATTATACTTATTGGCTATTGTAACACATGCTGAGCCAGTCAGTGATGTCACAATGCAATGAAATCTAAGACACATGACATCACTGTTTTAAAGTGTTTGTGTTACATTTCATATTTAGCCCTGGAAACTGTATCTGAGATTAAACACCAGTGTTTTTAGGTTTAATTAACTGACAAGGAAAGAAAGGCTGTGGGTTCAAAACTCAAGCAAGCTGAACACAGACCCACTGCTGAATGGCCATAGTCAGACCAGCAAGGCTAGAAAAGACGTCCCTCTCATAACCTGACTGGCAAAACTGCACATCACACTCTCTCCTTCTGTGGCTGCAGAGGAGAAGGTTGAGACACGGACCAAAGCAAGAAATAAACTGTTTCACTTATAACCTGCAAGAGCTGACTTCAGAGTGTATACCATTCCACCTGGAAGACATTGATGGCAGCATTAAACTTCCTGACTGTTATTCTAAGAGATTGGAAAAACTGGTAATAATGACCGTTACTCTAAGTATCTGAGCAGTTTTGGTGAAATGTCCATTACTTGTGCAGTTTTGGTAATGATTACCGTTACTCTAAGTATCTGAGCAGTTTTGGTAATAATGAGCGTTACTCTGTGCAGTTTTGTCATAATGTCCATTACTCTGTGCAGTTTTGTCATAATGTCCATTACTCTGTGCAGTTTTGGTGTAATGTCCATTACTCTGAGCAGTTTTGGTGAAATGACCGTTACTCTGAGCAGTTTTGTAATAATGAGCGTTACTCTGTGCAGTTTTGTCATAATGTCCATTACTCTGAGCGGATTTGGTAATAATGTCCATTACTCTGAGCGGTTTTGGTGAAATGACTGTTACTCTGAGCAGTTTTGTAATAATGAGCGTTACTCTGAGCAGTTTTGCTGTAATGTCCATTACTCTGAGCAGTTTTGCTGTAATGTCCATTACTCTGAGCAGTTTTGTAATAATGTCCATTACTCTGAGCGGTTTTGGTGAAATGACCGTTACTCTGAGCAGTTTTGTAATAATGACCGTTACTCTGTGCAGTTTTGGTAATAATGTCCATTACTCTGTGCAGTTTTGCTGTGATGTCCATTACTCTGAGCAGTTTTGCTGTAATGTCCATTACTCTGTGCATTTTTGCTGTAGTGTCCATTACTCTGAGCAGTTTTGGTGAAATGTCCATTACTCTGAGCAGTTTTGGTGAAATGACCATTACTCTGAGCAGTTCTGTCATAATGACCATTACTCTGAGCAGTTTTGGTAATAATGACCGTTACTCTGTGCAGTTTTGTTATAATGTCCATTACCCTGTGCAGTTTTGCTGTAATGTCCATTACTCTGAGCAGTTTTGGTGAAATGACCGTTACTCTGTGCAGTTTTGTTATAATGTCCATTACTCTGAGCAGTTTTGGTGAAATGTCCATTACTCTGAGCAGTTTTGGTGAAATGACCATTACTCTGAGCAGTTTTGTAATAATGTCCATCACTCTGAGCAGTTTTGGTGAAATGACCGTTACTCTGAGCAGTTTTGTAATAATGTCCATCACTCTGAGCAGTTTTGGTGAAATGACCGTTACTCTGTGCAGTTTTGTTATAATGTCCATTACTCTGAGCAGTTTTGGTGAAATGTCCATTACTCTGAGCAGTTTTGGTGAAATGACCATTACTCTGAACAGTTTTGTAATAATGTCAATCACTCTGAGCAGTTTTGGTGAAATGACCGTTACTCTGAGCAGTTCTGTCATAATGACCATTACTCTGAGCAGTTTTGGTAATAATGACCGTTACTCTGTGCAGTTTTGTTATAATGTCCATTACCCTGTGCAGTTTTGCTGTAATGTCCATTACTCTGAGCAGTTTTGTAATAATGACCATCACTCTGAGCAGTTTTGGTGAAATGACCGTTACTCTGAGCAGTTTTGTAATAATGAGCGATACTCTGTGCAGCTTTGGTGAAATGACCGTTACTCTGAGCAGTTTTGTAATAATGAGCGATATTCTGTGCAGTTTTGGTGAAATGACCATTACTCTGAGCAGTTTTGTAATAATGTCCATCACTCTGTGCAGTTTTGCTGTAATTTCCATTACTCTGAGTAGTTTTGTAATAATGAGCGTTATTCTGAGTAGTTCTGTCATAATGACCATTACTCTGAGCAGTTTTTGGTAATAATGTCCATTACTCTGTGCAGTTTTGCTGTAATGTCCATTACTCTGAGCAGTTTTGGTGAAATGACCGTTACTCTGAGCAGTTTTGTAATAATGAGCGATATTCTGTGCAGTTTTGGTGAAATGACCGTTACTCTGTACAGTTTTGCAATAATCACCGTTACTCTGAGCAGTTTTGGTAATAATGACCGTTACTCTCAGCAGCTTTAGTGTCATGACCGTTACTTTAAGCAGTTTTTTCTGATAATGACCGTTACTATGAGCGGTTTTGGTGAAATGACCGTTACTCTGAGCAGTTTTTAAATAGTATTTCTTAGCCACTTAGTTTCATGAACTGTACGTTAATCTGACTGTTGTCCTAGCAACCGTACGCGCGTGCTCAGTGTACACGCGGAAAGCGCGCTCCTTCTCCGTGACGTCTGTCAGTGGGCGTGTTTTTCCCCACGTGCCGCGAGGGCAGAGCGGAGGGGGGGCGCGCGTTTAAAGGCGGAGGATCCGTGCGCGAGGCCGATCTACCGCAGCACGGCGGCGGCCTCGCGACAAATAAATATTAATAGTAAAAACACGCTCACGTTTTTTTTCGTGGCAACGCCCTTTCCAGCGGTTATTTACTTGTTTGTTGTTGTTGTTTTTTGTTTTTTTCGCTCCGCCGATGGACGAACAATGGAGAAGCCGTCCGCAGAAATTTCTCGCCGCCCTCCTCTTTCCCCATCATTGTTTATGATGCTGCTGCTGCTGCTGTTGTGTAGGAGGGCAGGGACGGAGCCCGTCTCTTTGGATTCCTGCTAGAAAACAAGCCAGCCAACACTCGCACACACACTCAGAGCACAGAGCTGACCGTGACCGCCTGGCTTCTTCTCTTGGCGGACAGCAGATGTTCGCAGGTCTCTTCTCCCGGCGACATGGTGACATTCCCGGCTCTCGCCCATTACTGGCCCCTCATCCGATTCCTGGTCCCTCTGGCCATCACCAACATCGCCATCGACCTCGGCGAACAGGCAAGTGCTTCTCCTCACACAGACACACACACAGAGACACACACACGGCTCGCTGCTGTTTTGTCACGGCGGGCCTCCAGCTTCCACCGGGGCTACAGCTAGCCTATATGCTACAAGATTTACCTCAGCTGAGGCACTGCAGCAAAGCGCATCTCCCTCAGGACTGCTTTCCCCGTGTAGCGGACAGAGACGCTCTGGTGGGGCCGTGACGGCCTCCATAAGTGTCATATGAATTATACCGAATCCTACATTCATGAAAGCGGTTTGTCAGAGATGGGTAAACAGGGTAGAGCATCACAAACATGGGCAGATGGCCCGAGTGTGCGTGTCAACAGCTGGTCACACAGGGCATCAACAGCAGCACGGGCTCCATTCAGCCTGAACAATGCAGCACCAATCTGAGGCAGATGAATGTGCACTTTTGGATGGGCTGATTTTTGGAGGGGAAAAGCTCGTAACCTCGCCGTGAACTGCCCTTGTTTTTGTTTACAGTCAACGGCAATGAGAGAAATAAGGCCTAGCAGGGTGGGTTTTGTATCAGAGCCTACAATGGGCCCACCTTTCTCTCTGTCAGTGTGGCTTCCTTTTTTACTGCTGCTAACGTGGGGCTAAAAACTAAAAAAGCACTCAAAGCCCAGTGCTGGGTCCTATCAAAGACCTAGAGGCTGATTTCCACTTCATTCATCCTGTTGTCTGTCATCCTCGCTTTGGTGATAAAAGAAGTCAAATTCTGATGCTACTAATACTAAATATAGGTCTGTGTACTAATACTATCTGCATTTACTGCACTCCTAAAAAAATGTTTTTTCAAAGGTGTTTAGAACCATGATATACAGGGTGTCCCAAAAAAATTGACATCATTTGAAATGTGAATATCTGAGTAACTACATGTCCTAGGCAAACAAAATTAAATAGGCTTCATGTTGAACATTACAAGATTTATTTATCAAAATTCGAACAAGAAATTCAGAGGGATGTAGATTTTATAACCGATTTCACAAAGCTTCACAAATGTAATATATTTTGATACTGGTGGTCGTCCAGATCCCTTTGCCCTGCACAGACAGCCTTCCTCTTTGAATTTTTTGTGCCAGGTCCACATCTGCTTTCCTTTTTCTCGAAAATGCACGCTGCAAAGTCTTGTTTGACTGTGTTCGAGCATATTCTAACACACAAAATGCCTTTTCATTTCTAGTGAACACCATCCTTCAGCCTGAAAAAAAAAAACATAAAAATTAAACTTGGTTAGTTTTTACACATTTTGTTAAAATTTGAGATCATTTGAGGGAGAATTGGCTGTGTTATTAGACTACAAAATTATGTCAATTTTTTTGGGACACCCTGTATATATGATATATAGAACCATGAACACTCAAAGAACCGTATCATGCTTAAATGGTCTTGTGCATGGTGAAATGGTTCTTTAGACTGATGGAGAATGTGTATGGTTCTATACAGCACCAAAAGCGTTCTTCAACTGTTACGATGTCAAGCTTGTTACAAAGGTAGAAGCCTTTTTGGTGCTATATAGAAGCATTTTCAAACCATGTACCACATTCTTCATCAATCTAAAGAACTATTAAAGCAGGCAAACGGTTCTTTGAGTGATCATGGTTCTATATAGAACCTTTGTCTTTACCAAGAAACCCTGAAGAATCATCTTTTTAAAGTGTGTAAGTTAATATAATACTGGTGTAATGGTGGGGAAATGTTAATAAATCATAGATAAATCATAGATAAATACTTTAGTATTGAAAACCCATGTGTCACTCCATTGTGAATGATTTTCTCCATAAATCTGACCTGCAGGCTTTGCTAAACGGTGAATAGAGTTCAGTGGGTTCTTTGTCTCCTCATCTGTGCCTAGTAACAGAAAACAGCTATTAGTTTGTGAAGGCCAGAGGCACATTTGAAGCTGAAAATGAATCATCTCGGAAATTGGTATTTTTAACTAGCAGTTGTCTGACATCATGCACTGGACACTGGAAGTTGATAGTAACATGGATGTGTTTGTCAGACAGTGGGACTTTTCTCCCACCGGCGATAATGCTTCACTGGACGTCCACCTACTCGCCTTCTAATTGCACTGTTCCTGAGTGCAGTTAAACATACTGACCAAATAGATGTAGGCGACTGCAATTTGGTTACTTTTTCAACAAACAAGTAAAGTAGCGTGTTGTGAAATTAGAATGAGATGTTTTTTCAAGACCGTTATGCAAGAATGAGTTCACTTTCTGAGAAATCCAGCCATTTTAACGTGGTGAGGCCTACAGGTGTGCTGTAAATGGTTCATAGACATCTTAACTAAGCTCTCCTAAACTCTGATCTTACAGAGGCAGTATGTGAAATTGGAAGCGTATGATACACTTGTGTTGATGACACTACCTCACCTTAATTATTTTTCATGTTCTACCTATTTCCAGATTATTTATAATAGTACGGTTATAAAAGTATTACTTAGTATATCGACCCTTTTCAACCCCAGGAGTCTTGTGTTTGACCACACTTCAAATGCTAAATCTCAACTGCATATCATACATATTAGTTCCGTAGTAGTTATCAAATAATTCATAGCAGTTGAGTGAATAATAATATGGTAATAGTGAGTACTATTAGAAGTTTTATAACTGAATAATAAGCTGCAATGGTGTAGTCCTTGTCCCAGCCCTGCCCTTAATGAAATACAACTCCAGTCCAGGATTTCAGAACAGTGGAATGGCAGCTCGGCGCACCTTTGTTTTTAACCTGGAAGGGGGATCGTTGTGCGTTGCCTGAGGTCATAGTTAATTAGTGAATTGCAATAATCAATAATACATAACAGAAAGTGTTACATTTAAAAGCTGTAAATACTTGTTCACTATTCACATTGAGTGTAAAGATGGAATCAATATTCCACTATTTTGGCTTACAGTGGATTAAAGTTGTTCTGTTTTGCAGCTCTTGGAAAATGAGGCACAGAAATACAATAAATGAAAAACAAGCCTTATCAGCTGCCAATATTCACTTAATATAGCTTTTAACTATCTGAGACCATCGGTGGGGGCCTAGTCTAATAAAACAAGAACGTGATCTGATTCTGAGCAGCAGAATATAGGCAAGAAGGAGAAATGTGTATTGGAGGCTCTGTAGTCTGTCCGCCCCCACTAACAGACATCCATTATCTTTCTGCACACTGTCGTAAGGCGCTGGAGATGAATTGGTAGCTTCCCAAAGGGAGCGTGTGCACACACACGTCACTGACACACACACACACACACACACAGAGGGAGGGAGGGAGAGAGAGACAGTGCAACAGAAGAATATGGAAGATAAGGAGTGGTGAGAGCTGGGGCTTTGGATGAATTATTGAAACAGGCATCTAGATGCTCATTTCCGTTCTGCTTTTGTTTGTATTGCAAGTGCTTGTTGAAGCAGATGAGTAATCTCTGTGCTCTCTTTACCTTTGTATTCCCTAAATTAGATCCAAGTCTTTAAACAGGGGCTGAAACAAAAGGATATATCACCACTTCATTTTATACCCTTCATAGATTTTACACTTAGTGGGCAGAGACGTACTACATACAGTACTGTGCAAAAGTCAAAGACCTCCCTTATTTATTTAATTTCTAGTCAGAATGGCCAAGTACAAGTTATTCTTTTTTTCAGGTGATATTTTGAGGAGATTAGATAGAAAATAATTTACTTGGACAAGAAAGGGTAAAATCAAGGGAAAAAAGTAAAAAAACTATATGTATATATTTTTTGGAAACACGTTTCCAGATATAGAGAAAATGCAACTTCTAACAACCATTGAAGACCTGGTAGACCCCAAAATTTATCACTATCAGTACTAAAAGCTTTCACCTATGAGAGACAGATGAAAGTCAAGCTCCACTCTTGCTTCAGGTCTGAAAAAATCCACAGTGTTTCTGTCTGTCCATCCTCTATGAGAAGACACCTCAATGCTATGAGTCTGAAAGGATATGTAGCTGTCAAGAAGCCCTTACTGAGAAAAACAAATAGACAAAAAAGAAGAAAATTTGCAAACCAAACAAAGAAGCTGCTGGTGTTCTCAGACCATATTCTGACCATATCAGAGTCCAAATCTCAACATTCACTGTGTTTGGATTACTTGGACTGTGAGAAACAGAAAATGCAACCAATTCTAAGACTGAACTTTGAAGGTGACAAAAAAAGGTCCCTGCAGAAAACTAAAAGCAAGTTCCTTTTTGTTTTTTTTTCCTTTGTGGTAAATGTATGTTTTTCTTTTGCTTTTTTCCTGAAAAATGAATAACTTGTACTTAATGCCCGTTCTGACTGGAAAATAAATAAATGAAAGGTAGTCTCTTTTTTTCACACAGTGCTTTAGGTGCACCATAGGAACACTGACTAGATATTATTTGGTTGGCGGACCATTCTCAGCATAGTAAAGACATCAATGTAGAAGTGTGGTACGACTGTATCAGACAAAGCAGTGTTGTTGTAGGTTTTATACCATGTATACCATATACATATATCGCTGTTGTCGGAAGAAAACCTCGTATCTCCGTTTTGGTCGTGGTTAAGTTTACAACATAATTTGAAAATGTCTCTTGCCCTTTACTTTATTTGTAAATTTCATGAAGAATGGACCAAAAGAAATGGCTCAAAATGACTTGGAAAAAAGTCTGGTTCCATTGACATTAAAAGTAAAGTATGTTTTTTCCTTTTTCTATAAAGTTATCATTTTGGACATACAAGGTTTTCTTCTGACAACAGCGATATATTATGTTGTGTAATTAATTATTATTGCTTTGGATCTGTAACACAGGGCCAGATGTCCTTGTCGCTCATTTTGCTTTCTGCACAGCAGTATTCTCCTCATTAGTGCTCAACATTTGTTCTCAGTGCTGAGACTGAGATTTATTCACTGTGTCTGTACATGTAGATGTGAAGGTTGACAAATCTGCACTCTTCCTGACTTGAGGGGTGAGTGTGGTGCCATGAAGGAAGGACACAGGAGGGTCACTGTCTCGAGGGCT